GAGAAAGACTTAAAAAAGCACATGCACCAGAAGATGCTTTGGGGTCTTAAGGGCTCTAAAAGGACCCAAGTCTGGGAATAGCAAATAGAAGCAACAGGTTGATCCTCTAGTTTCAAAAGATCTTGATGAGTAAGAAGAAAAAAACTGAGCTAGGTACCTGGTAACTCGGTTTCCAGGAATCTTCTAGGACAGCATCTGAGAGATAGTCTCCTCCCACCTGAAAACACATCACATACACCAAATAAAAGGGCGCTTACCCCCAGCATACCTCAGTTAATTTAACAGAACCGAAGGAGACACATAAGCGTTGACATAGACACATTCCCAAGGGTGGGAACCATGCTGCCCTGGAAGATTCCTGGAAACCGAGTTACCAGGTACCCAACTCAGTTTTTCCCAAGAAATCTTGCAGGACAGCATCTGAGAGAATAGGCAAGAACCCATACTCACATGGTTTAGGGTGGGCTAACTGCTTGCAGGACCTTCCTACCAAAATCTTGGTCTTCTCTAGCAAACACATCCATACGGTAGTGTTTGACGAAAGTTTGGAAGCTGGTCCAAGTCGCTGCCCGACAGATTTGATCTGGGGTCACTCCTGCCCTTTCAGCCACTGATGAAGCCCAGGCCCTGCTATAGTGTGCGCCGTCACAGTCTGTGGTGGTGTCAAACCCTGAAGCCTATATGCTTCTGATATCACCAGTTTTATCCATCTTGCTATTGTACCCTTAGATGCCCTCAGGCCCTTTTTTGCGCCTAAAAACAGGAGTAATAGGTTATCGGACTTCCTCCAGCTGCTGGTTTTGTCCAAATACTCCAGAACGCATCTCCTGACATCAATGCCCGTCAGTCTTTCTTCCTCCGATGTAACTGGGTTAGTGTGGAAGGAAAGAATAACTACCTCCTGGGTACGATGAAACGTGGAAGCCACCTTTGGCAGGAACCCTGGATCTGGCTTGAGGATGATTATGTCTGCATGAATAATGCAATAAGGTTTCGCCATGGAGAACGCATGGATCTCGCTCACCCTTCTGGCTGATACAATCGCTATCAGCAGAGCCACTTTAAGCGTGAGAAGTTTTATCGAGCAGTCTGCAATAGGCTCAAAGGGGGCCCCAAGGAAGCTTTGGAGTACCACTGACAGATGCCAAGAGGGATAGCCCTTAAACGGTGGTGGTCTGAGCCAGGCCGTGGCCTTCAGGAACCTTTTAATCAGGGGTTCCTCAGCCAGTCTAGTCTCCAAGTATACCTTTAGCGTACTACAAGACAAATTCATATCCGCCCCCCTCTGTAAAAATTCCAACACCGCCACAACAACCGGTTTACCCCTCATTCCGTTAAGGAGCATCCAGGAAGAGAAACTCTTCCAGACCTTGTTGTAAATCGCGGTAGTAGTTGCTTTCCTACTAGTAAGCAGAGTGACTATGACTTTGTCTGAAAGACCTTTGTTTAGTAGGATCTCCCTCTCAGAATCCAAGCCGCCAGCTTGAGGTTATCTGGATGAGGGTGCCGTACTGGGCACTGGGACAGCAAGTCCGGAATTATCGGCAGAATCAAAGGAGGTTCCACACTGAGGTTGTGAAGAGTCGCGAACCAAGGTCTCTTTGGCCACCAAGGTGCCACGAGGATGAGGGTCATTTGCTCTTGTACTACCTTTGATAGGACGCTGGGTAACAGCCTCACCGGGGGAAAAGCGTACGCCAGCGCAAAAGCCTCCGTCCCCTGGACACAGGGAAAAGGATACTTCTACCTTCCTGTTTTCCCTGGTTGCAAACAGGTCTACATCTGGGGTCCCCCACTTCCTCCTTAGCATCTGGAATGTATGGTCGTTCAGTGCCCATTCCGACGGGCGAATGCGTTTCCTGCTTAGGAAGTCGGCCAAGGAGTTCAGAGACCCTTTTAGATGAACCGCTGTGAGGGATAAAAGTTTGAGTTCCGCCCAGGCCAGAATCTCTAGCGTCAGGGCCAGCAGAGGCCGCAACCTCGTGCCTTCCTGCCTGTTTATATTGGCAACCGCCGTGGCATTGTCCGACCGGACTGCCACGTGAGAACCACTGATTCCGGCCTCGATTTTGGCCAAGGCCAGGCCGATCGCTTTTAGTGACGTTGGAGGATTTCCGCCACCAATCGGGGTTCCACCTTCCCTGGGCTAAGTGCTCCCCCCAGCCCCAGGCACTGGCGTCTGTGGCGATTGTCACTTGCTGCGGCACTCCCCACAGCCTGCCCCTGTCCAGATTTTGCCTCTCCAACCACCAGGTGAGAGATGCCTTTACCTGACCCGGGATCTGAATACACTCGTCCAGCGTCTCTTGTTCGCCGCCCCAATTCTGCAAAAGAAAAGCCTGAAGCGTTCTTGAATGGAGCTGGGCCCAAGACACTGCTGGGATTGCGAAGTCATAAAAACCAGGAGACGTATTGTTACTCTGAAGGGCACCCCGTGGGACAGATACAGGGACAGAGTCAACTCCGCTATTCTTTCCCTTTTCTCCTCTGGGAGGAACAGCCGCGATACCGAAGAATCTATCCGGTACCCCAGAAAGATAATCTCCCGCGTTGGCTGAAGTTGGGATTTCTCCCCATTGATCAGCCAGCCCAGACCCTGTAAGTGTGCAACGGCCAGTTCCAAGTTTCCCCTGAGAGTGGCTGAAGAACAACAAGTCGTCCAGGTAGGGGATAACTTCGATCCCCTGAAGTCTCAGTGGAGCAAGGGCCTCCGCCAGCACCTTTGTAAAAAGTCTCGGCGCAGAAGAAAGACCGAAAGGGGGAGCTTTGTACTGATAGTGAGCCGTCCCGTGGGGTCCTTTTATCGCAAACCTGAGGAGTTGCTGCGACTGCACCCTGATTGGTATATGGAGATAAGCATCCTTTAAATCTATTTTCGCTAGAAACACTAGCGGGGACAACAGGCTTCTCACCGAGTAAATAGATTCCATAAGGAACCTCTTGTATCGAACCACTCTGTTCAAGGGTTTCAAATTGAGGATTAACCTGGCTTTGCCTGAGGGCTTTCTCCTTACAAAGAGATGGGAGTAGCATCCCGTGCCCCTTCTGGTACCGGGCAGATTACTTTCTGGTCCATAAGAAAACTGGCAGGGGCTGGTTTCATTAACTCGATCCTGTAACCCCACTGGATCAGGTTTAAGACGAAACCATTTCCCGTGACCTCCTGCCACTGAGGGAGGAACAGTTTGAGTCTTCCCCCCCACCAAAGCCGGGCAGTCATTGGGGCTTTGCTTGGGCCTGGGCGGGGGAAAAACGAAACCCACTTTCCTTTCCCCTTCTTCAAAGCCCATTTTTTACCCTGGTCCTGCTTTTTACCCCTTTTGTTCGTTTGGGCAAGTTGTCCTCGAAAGGGTTTCCTGGGTTGCTTGTTTGCAAGGGGAACCCCTTTCTTTTTGTCCGAAGACCTGTCCAGAACTGCCTCCAGCTCAGGACCAAACAGCAGGTCCCCTTTGAACGGTAGACCACAGAGTCTGTTTTTTGACACAATGTCCCCAGACCAGGTCTTGAGCCATAGAGCCCTTCGAGAAGAATTGATCAGTGCTGATGCACGCGCCGAAAACTTTAGGGCTTCGACCAAGGCGTCTGCAACATAAGCAACCGCCTTGGAGAGCCCCTGAAAAGATTCCGACAAGTTCTGCACTGGCCCTCGACTCCAATACAAAATGGAGCTGGCCCAGCCAGACATCCAGTGTCCGGGCTATGCAGGTGGTGGCCAGGGCTGGTTTGAACCCCGCCGCCGCTGTTTCCCATGCTTTTCGTAGAAGCGAGTCTGCCTTCTTGTCCATGGGCTCTTTTAGTGCTCCCATGTCCTCAAAAGATAAGTCGGATTTCTTGGACACTTTGGAAAGGGAAGCATCCAGTTTGGGGCACTTTTCCCAGACTCCGCAGTCCTCCTCGCTGAAGGGAAATCTCAGTTTCAGCTGAGGAGGAAAATTAAGCTTCTTCTCTGGATCAGCCCATTCCGCTAGGAAGAGGTCTTTCAGGGACTAATGGACTGGAAAAGTCCTACCTTTTTTAGACTGCAACCCCTTATAAAGGCTATCATGCACCGACAATTCGGCTTGCTCTTCTTTGATTCCCAGGGTTTCCCAGACCGCTTTGAGTAACTCGTTAGTGTCTGATGCTGTAAAAAGAAATCTGGAAGCCCTGACCTCCCCTTCTTCCGCAGATTCATCCTCCTCTGAATTGGAGGAAGACCCCCCGGATTTTACGGTGTCCCGACTGGTACCGCTTTCTGAATACCTGTGGGATGGAACCCCGGAGGGTCCTGGCAGGGCAGGATCTGGACCCGGAGGTTTAGTCTGTTCCTGAATGACAGAACGCAGAGATTGGAAGGTAGCTACCATCTCATCTCTCATGCTGTCAAGTAAGCCCTTGGAATTCCCCGCAGATTCTGCTGCCACATGCTTTCCTAAGCATAGCTGACATAGTGGCTTTTTGTATGAGGATGCTAATTTTTCACTGCAAGAGGAACACTTTCTGTACTTGGGACGTGAGCCTGAGGGCACGGCTAAGGGCTTTTCTTCAGGGTTTCTGGCCTGAAACAACAAAACACATAATGTGTCATTAGTTTTAGCCCTCCCAAGCGCCACTATGCCCCCTCAGTGTACCCTTGCCCCAAGGGGCCCCACCGCCAAAAGGTACAGGGTAGTTTAAAGTGCCATGCACCTGCCTACCTTAGAGCTGGTTGCAGAGGGTTCTCCCAGATCAGTGGTGCAGCAAAGGTTGCAGAGTCTGCCGGCATGGTCGCTGACCGATGCGAAGCTTCACGCTCTCTGCCCCCGCTCCGATTGCTCCCTCCTTGTTTGGTGCCACAAGGCCGGCCCTCTCTCCTGGGTCTGATGTGTGGCATGGCCGAGCGGAACACATCCCTCTTATGGCCGGACTGGAAATGCGTCATCTGACGTAATTTCCAGTCTCCACTTACAGTACCACCCCCGGCCTCTGACCGTCTGACGCTGTTTCCGCCGGCGGCGTCTAACGTCATTAATGTGCGCCTCTGCCCCACGAGCTCTCTGCCGTCATAGGGATAGTCCCAACAGTACGACCCGCAGCCCACGTGAGGTTCCCACTGCTACCGGCAGCCTGCCGCACGAAACGTGAGTAACCAATGCGGATGGGGTGGGGTATGAGGCCAATGGCAGCCAGGCTCACACCAACTCTGAGGAAACCTGTAGGTGTGCCAAGAGGTTACTGCCTAATCCATCAGACCTTCAGAGTCCCTCTCGAGGGCAGCTACACCCCGGCTAGCTGGGAAAAGCTCAGCTGGAGCCGTCACAAAAGGAGGATGGTTGCCCTCTTAAAAGAGAGAAACCTCAGAGCCAATTCACCCCTAAGGGTAGGACAGGATGGGGATTGCCCTAGGGATCTTGCACAGGTATACCCAAAGCCGCTGGCCCCAAAGAAGGAGATACCATGAGCAGTAGGGCCCCTGCCACATGCACGCAGTCCTATACAGAAAAAAAATAACAAAATATTCCCATGCTTCTGTTAGGCCGAGGAAACACAAATAACTGAGGTATGCTGGGGGTAAGCGCCCTTTTATTTGGTGTATGTGATGTGTTTCCTGTTTCAGGTGGGAGGGGACTATCTCTCAGATGCTGTCCTGGAAGATTACTTGGGGGAAAAAAAAAGGTACTAGCTAAAATTGGTTCTGAAGAAAATACGTTCATCCTCCTAGGACACCAGCAAAGAACTGAGGTATGTTAGCATTAGGAGAGGTTACCCTGGGACGGCCTAGAGTTTGTTTGCAAGAGTCCAATCCTCCTGTAGGCAGCACTATAATGTAAAGGTAAAAGACTTCTTGTGTCCCTCAATGGACAAGACAGAAGCAGTTAATAATGCAAGTTACATTGACAGTAGTGGTCATTCAATGGGTCAGAGCATCACCTTGTGGTCAATCTGGTGCAGCCACACATGGTCAATATTGCTGAATGACCCTGTTCACTACAGTTCATGTTTTGCAAGACTGTCATACATTTACAGGGTTATTCACAAAAGGGTGAAGAGTGTGGAAGGCAGGAGACGTGAAAAATCTAGGACAACATAGCTGAACTGGAAAATGAGCTGAATTGGAGAAAATTTAAGTTCATACAACTTTGCAATACATGCACATTCCTCAACCTCCCCCCTCCCCATTTTAAAAAAAAACACTGCAAGTACAAAAAAAAACCTGCAGAATTTCCAACTTCCTGTTTGAGCCGACAATTATTCTACTGCACTGAAATCCCAAGCTGTGTTGTCATCCTGGCTCAAGTTCTCCACCACTTGACTACAGCATCCCCCCACCCCTTATGGTATGGGAATGAAGAGAGGGAAGGTTTGCTGAAGTCCAAATCAGGCGCGCAGCCAAGGGTGACGACACTGGTCCTCGTTAAATACAGTAAAGTGAGTGAGCGTTGCCAACATAAGACAGGAAGTGTGTTACTGGCAGGATCACCTGATGAAAATAAAGGGAGAAGCCTGAAAAAAAAAAGAAAACTAATGCAGTTACCACATCTATGGACTGGTAAGCTGCATTGTATGATATTTTGGGGGCTTAGAAACAATAATAAAATGTGCATGAGGAAATTAAAAAAGCTGCACTCTATCTAAAATGCCACATAAAAGAAGCTCATTAATTATTTTACAAAAGTTACAACTTCAGCGGCATCCACCGAGGGATTACAAAGAATGTAGAAAAGAATGATAAGCAGTCATGTATATCTGGATCCATTGCCACTTTCAGCTCACCTGGTCGACCCCTCGGCCCTTACACTGAAGAATAATAACCTCTAGGAGTTTGGCTGCATGACACTCTGCATCTTCTCCCGCTTCTCCCATTAGCACCTGTCCAAAGAAAGAATGCCATTTTGTTAACAAAAAAAACCCCCAAAACACTGCATATTCCCAGGGTGCATTGCTACATCCAACCCTACTAATCAGTTCATGGCAACATGAAGGATTTTACACGGGTCCTGACAATCGTTGGACCAGCAGACTGGAAACTCTTACTACAATAAAGTGTCCGGATAACTGAGATTCAAAGTCAATATAACAAATTCAAAACAAAGTCAAAATTAAGATTCACCAGATGGTTCCAATTACAACCGACAAGCATGACTTATGATTTGCTAAATATTACAGAAAAGGAGAATGAATAGAAACATACAATCTTCAGTACAACATAATCATTCTGATTTCTCTGTTATGTATTCGGTGTCAGGTGATGGTTATGTTAATATTTTTTTTAGAATGCAGTTACCAAGAAAGCACTTTAAGAGACTCACCTTCTTACACATGGTGTAAATAATCTCTAGGTGTTTGGGGTTGGACAGCAGTGTGTCTGTATCCACCGTGATATAATTGTGAAGTAGTGGCATCATATCTGTGCATAGGAAGGAAGGGGGAAGGAGACAGACGGATGGGGGGGGGGGGGGGGGGGGAG